CCTGCTGTAGTGGGAGTAGACCTTGAGCCTGTCCTTTGTCTCTCCAAGCAGGGAAGACCTGGCTATCCTCCGACAGGAAGTCCAGGACCTCCAGGCCTCTCTGAAGGTAGACAGTGGCCCACAGTATTTCTCGTTCACTCTGAGTACTTCCCCCATTATTAATGTTCACTCACCCTAAGCATTTCCCCCTCATTAATGCTCACTCACCCGGAGCATTTCCCCCTTATTAATGCTCACTCACCCTGAGCACTTCCCCCCTCATTAATGCTCACTCACCCTGAGCACTTCCCCCTCATTAATCACTGATCCTGCACTATTTTATCCAAATTTACCACAAATGGTATTGAATTGTACTGTATAGATTAATGTTTCTGACATACATTCAAAAAACCGTGCTTACATTGGACTGAGTGATTCCCATACATTTTACATAGATATTAACACAAATTGAATGACTTTGTGGCTGAATTTCAGGGCTCAAACAAATCTGAATTAACATGATATTTTCTGGTTGTCAAGCAGCATGTGTCAAGAGGGAAAAAAAAAACACTGTATACCAATAACTGCCAGATTTACAAGTTGGTGCTTTTTGCTACAAACTAGCCCAGTGGCTACAATTATAAACAGTGTAACATTTCACTTGCTACATTGCCAAAACAGTTGGAATACTGGGTGCAGGATTCTCATGTTAAACTGACGTTTTTCTCCTTTGACTGTTGCATATTGATTTTTTATTTTATTTATTTATTTTGCATGTTAGATTATTTCTGCGGTGTCCCTAAGTTTCCACACAGTGCTTGTCAGTAATTGGGCAAGATCAGTGTGGGAGAGCACAGGATTTTAAAACTCCTCTAAAGGTCAAACTCACTTTCAGATGTGTGCTATTAGACTGATGAGTAGTTTATAAATATTCACATTTTTAAATTTGTTGGTGAAATTTTTAAAAAGAAAATTCTGAATGAGCCCATGGTTGTTACTCATGGGTGATGGTGGAGTCTTTGTGTTCCCTGCCCAGGAAGAGAGATGGTTTTCCGGGGAACTGAAGAAAGAGCTCGACAAAGTTCAAGGACAGCTGAAGCAAGTAATTCCTTTAAAATGCCTAAATCCTGAACAAGCCCAAACATGACACACAATAAATACATAAAAAGAAATAAGACACTACTCTTTACTATAATACTATTATCTATAATGAATGACATAGTGCTGGGTATATCTTCATGAATTTAAACCCGTGATCCACTCAGGTCTTCCCAATCTAGTGTGCTTTAAATGCTATTAAATAACCTTCAGGTCCATCTTCAGAGAGGCTTGCTGTACTGGAATTAGACAGGTCATTATATCACTAATGAGATGTGATTGACAGCTGAAAGGCAGGAAGTGCAGCGCTGCTGTTTACAGGGCTGAGTCTTGGGGAGGACATGGCAGCTCTGCTAAGGGACAGGTCATTCCATCCCCGAGGAGATGAGGAGGAGCTGGGGGGAGATGGAGGGATGGGGAGGAGCCAGAGGGGAAACAGGGAGGAGAGGGGGAGAACTAGCTGCAGGTCATGTGGCTGGAAGAGTGTATTTATCATACTTGTGTCACAGCTTTTATATTCTCTTCTAGGGCCCTCAGGATGATGGCCAAGCCAGCATGGAGGAGTCAGGTAGAGAAACCCATAATGCAGAGATGGCTGATAGTAGAGTGTTCCTACTCTAGAAGTGTGTGTTTATGTTTGTCTTTGTGCATATGCATACATTTGTGCATGGTTTGTTATGGTAATATTCATGCATGCCATTGATTTCACAATGTAATGCACAGATGTGGTAGTAATTGGGATGGTTGTAGTGGAGATGTGCTGGTGATTTCAGAGCTGCAGATGAAGCTGAATGAGTCAGAGACTGAGAAGTTCAACATCAAGCAGATGAAGGACCTGTTTGAGCAGAAGGCAGCCCAGCTGGCCACCGAGATAGTAGGCAAGTACAGTTTCACATCTCTCACTGAATGTGGATTACCTCCAGGCAGTTCTCAGTTTGTGCTCTTGTGCTGATCACTGACCTGAGATCAACAGGAAATGAGGGAATAATTTGGAATGCAGCTCTTGTGTGATGCAGCACTGGACAGGGCTTGGGCTACTACTCACCTGGGCTACCTGTTAAACATTAGTAAGTGATCCATTATCTCACCTTAAGACCGTAAATAATAGTAAGTAATCCATTATTTCACCTTGAGACCCAAAAATTATTATTCCATTGTCACACTGAAACCGTAAAATTATTACATAATCCATCTCACCTTGATTCCATAAACATAAGTGATAGGGAGAGCCTTTGAACTATGCATGAAATAGCAGATAATTCACATTTATTCACAATTTCACCAATAATATTTTCAGTTTAAATATTAATGGCAGCAATAAATATAAAAACTTGCCAGAGTGACTACAGCCCTCTTTGCAGTGAGTCATGATTTCTACAGAAAGAGTCGCAGTTTCAGACAGTAGCTGAGTGAACTTGGTTTAGAATGTTTGAATATTCTGTTTAGGGAATCAGACAATGCTGGAAAGTCAGATCAATGGAAATGCATATGTACAATGATTGTGACTGTGTATGGAAGAGTTTTCTTAGAGATGCTGTGCTAACACAGGTGCATTAGAGATTCTGGTGTGTTAGAGATAACTGTGTTGGCCTGCAGACATCAAGTCGCGCTACGATGAGGAGAGGAGCCTGCGTCAAGCGGCGGAGGAGCGCGCTGGCAGCCTGGCCCAGGACCTGCAGAGGGAAAAGCAGGAGAAGGAGCGCTGCCAGGCAGAGCTGGTAATGACACCACCCATCCTTAGCCAACCAGTAGGGTGGGGGGGGTTACTCTCCTCAGCCGGGGGAAAGAGTGCATATGTTTGCAATGTATGTATTGCTGCATTTATCATGTAACATGGCTATAAGGAAAAGGTGTGTGCATGTTTGTGCAAGTATGAGTATATATTTACTAGTACTGGGCGGTATGACCAAAAATTTGTATCACGGTATTTTTTAAGATTCTGGCGGTTTCACGGTATATCACGGTATTTATTTATTTATTTATTTTTTTTTTGCATGACTGGGCCTTTATATAGGTTTGTGGCTCATTCTACTGTCAGGTGTACATAGAATATAAAAACATTTTAATTTCATCATGTATATAATGAAGGCTTTGATCACTATAGGGTGTGCTTGGCCCCACAAAATGACACAATATATGAAGGAATCAGTATGCATGAAACAGTTGCAGAATGTAAACAATTTTTATTGTGCAAACTGCAACGTAGTAAAAACAGAACTTAAAAAAATAGATATACCAACAACTTTAACAATGCTTCATCTTCAAAACAAAATATTTAAGATAGTTCTATAAACTTTCTGCAGACACAGATCCTCTCTTGGGCACAAGTTCTTCTGGTGCATCTCCGGTCTCACTTTCTTCATCCTCCATGTCTGTTTTCTGCTCTACCGTAGCGACGGAGCCTCTCCCAGCTGTTAACAGACTGTTATGCTACCTGGCTAGCTAGCCAGCTGTACCCAGTATGCTGCAGTGGCGGCTGGTGAGCTGGAAACAGGGGAAGCGGAAACACTACTTCAACCTTTATCCTCCCTGATTAACAATAAAACAAATAATTCACAGAATAATCTACACCAATCGCGTCAATAGAATAAATAATTATACTCGCGGAACACCGCAGATTGTCTGAAATTTGTGTGCTATTGCGAAAGCTACAGCATGAGATTGTTTAATTAACAAGGATGGCAATTTGAATAATTAAGTGGCAAGTAATCCCAAAGCTTTCTCTTAAATGTTTCACATTGTAGCTTTCTTGTGTTACAAAATTCAAATTACAAAACGGAGCTAAATTTAGTTAAATCGATTTAAATTACTGAGAATAAACATTTAGGTTAGGGTGAGTACAATGAACAATAATGTTTAGAACACAGACCTCACAAAAGCTGTGATGTGTCATGAGCATTTAACGTAGGTTTTAAATCCATAAATGCCATCCTTGTTAATTTAACAATCTCACGTTGTAGGTTTTGCAAGCACGCAAACACAAATTTCACGAATGCATGTTGCACAGCAGTTTTCAATGACACACGTTCTTATGTAATCCATTACACTGACAAAGTCACGTCACGATTAGTTCAAACAGAGCCTAGTTGCGTAAGCTTACCAATAACGCGCTCATCTAACCTAAGTAAAATATTGCATTGTCAACGCTGTTTTTTTTTTTTTTTAAATTGACGCTAAAAAAACGAGACAAGTTTTCAATGTTAGCTGTGTGCCGTTATCAAGGAAAGCTAACTAGCTAGCGGGTTAACTTCAACTTCAGGACCGCTGGTGTCGTATTAAACGCAATGATATAAAACTACGTGACGTATATTCAGAAGAGTATAATCGTTTGTAAAGTCCATGCAAATTACCTAAAAGGTAGTCTCAGCTGTAGACAGAACTTGAGAATCGTAGCCAAATATACTTTAATTCTCGAGCACAACCGCCCCCGCCCCGGTCCTAGCAGATAAGTCCAGGGCTGAATTTCTTTCCCAGTACAACCCTGGTTGTCAAAAATTGTTGTGTGCCATGGTGTTCTGCCCTGTTAAAGAGAGTAAGTTGTGGGTAATTAACTGTTGTGTTATAAAGTTATAACTGTTAGTAAGAAGGGTATGCACAGTTAATAGGGGTCCCCTCTCAATACACTCTGCACAGCACTCCGTAGCACTTCTAGTGGCGAACAATATTATATAATTTGCTGCCTACTGAAGCATTACAGCTGTTGTTTTAGCTATGCTACAGTATGGCGGTATATGAAAAATTCATACCGTACGAGAAATTAAAACCGGTATACCGGATGAACCGGCTTTAGTGCCCAGCACTAATATTTACCTTACATTACATTATTGCCATTTAGCAGACACTCTTATCCAGAGCGACAGGTTACAATTTATACAGCTGTGGTAATTGTGACTTAAGTACCTTGCCCAAGGGTACAGCAGCAAGGCCCCAGTCGGGAATCAAACCAGCAACCTTTCAGTTGCAAGCCCTGTGCCTTACCACTGTGCTGCACTGGTGCCCATATACTTGCAGATAATAGCTCTAAATGCTTGCTTGCTAGCTACGTTCTGGACACTACAGGTACACTCAGTGAGAGGGATGATACGTGCTGTTTCCCTTGAAGAGGTCAAACCACATGATGAGGGGATAGTTTCCAATGCGCTTTAAGTCACTTAAGGTACCTACAGGTACATAGATGTACACACACACACACACTGAGTGATTTATTATAATTACACTTAAATATACTAATTCATATGTAGAAGACAGATATGCAATAACATAAACAAAAAAACTGGTTTCTTGTTTGTGCAACAGAACATTGCAATCCAGTTTGTACAGCTGGATAACAGACCTGACCTGATGACTGTCCCCTCTCTGGAAACACAGTGTAACAAAGGCCCTGTTCATACCTGGCATTAACATGCATCTTGGGTGCATTCACACCTGTACTTAGCGCTGTCCACTTGTGATTGGATCACCCAAGACGCATTGAGGATGCATTGAGATCCAATCGCTCAGACCACATTCGGAGGTGGTCTGGGCCGCATATGGCCACATTCTTTTAGCAGTGTGAACACGAATGTGTTCTGGGCCACATTGAAGGACCGCCTACTCAACTGACGTCCTCTGCGTAAGCGGAAGTACATACTCATTCACGTGCCAACGGCGTTCACACTGGTGTGATGAGCTGTTTAGCGGGTGTGCTAAAACCGGTGCGATTAGAACATGAGATTGGAAAAATTCTAGCTAATTTTAGCTTTGAGGAAACAGCGATTTAACGTTAAAAAAATATAGCAAATGCTAACCGAAAACTATGAGAAGCTTAATAACGCTAATGAAAACATAATGAACCATGTAACGTAGCCTAACACGCTAGCTTGCGAGTTTGCAAGCTACCTCAAATGCTTCCAAGCCCCAAAGGTGTAATGCAATATATTACATGGGAAAATGGTATTATGAATAATACGTGAAGTGTTGTAGTTCTACAAATAAATGTTAGTAGACTATTGTGGGAGTCAAGATTTACAATATCTTGAATATCAGGGGAACATTCTGAAATGCTTAACATGGCTTAATGTTCCAAAACTGCAATCAATGATCACCAAATTTCTCTCAGACATCTCTTGTCAGAAACACTTCCTCCTGTCAAAAAATCAAAACCGAAATCCTATGAGTATGGTCGTTATCTCACGTTAAGCGTTTTCCTCTCCATTGACGCCCAATATAAGGAAAAAGCTTAAAGTGGCTTAATGTCCTAAAACAGCAATCAATGATCACCAAATTAGTCTGACATCTCACATGTCATAAACACTTTCACATATCAAAAAATCAAAACAGAAATTCAAAGCAATATGGTTGTTATCTTACGTTAAGCCTTTTCCTTACGTTTAATGTAAGATAACGTCCACACTCATAGGATTTTTTTGATTGTTTTACAGGTGGAAGTGTGTATGACAATAGATGTCCGAGAGAAATTTGGTGATCATTGATCGCTGTTTTGGAACATTAAGCCACGTTAAGCATTTTAGAATGTCCCTTCTTCCATAACAAGCGCGCTTCGGTTTTAGAAAAGTAGCCTAATTCATAAATGTGTTCACAATACTAGCAAACGAGCAAACACCCTTAGATATTAAACTACATTATGAAACATTTTCATTGCAGCGAATAACGTAAGAAACTTTGGAAACATAATATCTTGCTTAGCCTATTTAATCCAACCATTCTGGCAAGGTGCCAGACAAATACGGTGAAGTTCAAAATGTTCTAATCTAGTGTTTCTGCTTTTTCCAACGATAAACAGAATTTGACAAAAGATCAGCTACAGCTGAGTTAAGGGTATTTAATTTCAGTGATGAATGGAATCTAGCTTGCTAGTCAACTAGGTTTTCATTTACAGATACAACACGCATTATTTCATAGTGACAGTCATAACAAGATTCGTTCAAACAGACCTTTAAATGATGCCTAAACTTACATTTGCAAACGGAAATGATGTACATGTTTATTTGCATACAGAGCGGGGAAGTGAGATCCGATCACAAGTGGTCACTCGAGACGCATGTGGAGAAGCATTCTAATGCCAGGTGTGAACTGACGTACTTAGAGCTGTCCACTTGTGATGGGATCACCCAAGACGCATGTTAATGCCAGGTATGAACAGGGCCAAAGCCGACTTGGTGATCACCTCCTCTCTGTAAACACACTGTAACAGAGCTGACCTGGTGATAATTCCATCTCTGGAAACGGAATGTGACAGAGCTGACCTGGTGATTTTGCCCTGTCTTGTTCAGCTGCAGAGGCCTGGGTTTGAGGATGTGGAGGTTCTGAAACGGGAGCTCATCCAGGTGCAGACACTGATGGATAACATGACCCGTGAGAGGGAGGAGGAGTCAGAGCACCTGAAGAGCCAGTGCCAACAGCTGCAGGCTGAGCACACTGCCTCCGAGGTACCCGCCCACTGCTTAACCAGGAAGATGCAAGAGCAGAGTTTCATAAAGAGGAGCTCCTTTGAAAAGTCCTATCTGATATGCCTTTAGAACTGATTGTATTTTTACTCTTGCATTCCTCAGTGTAGCTGAGTCACTCAAAGAAAAAAGCTGCATTGATTCACTGATCTAGACATGATGTGGATGAGCTCATCTCATGCTGTGTGCCAATACTAGGCAATCCACATAGCATAGGTGTCAGTGCAGGTCAACTCTTTGTGACATAAATCTTTTGAGGATGTGGTAACATTCCAGGTTAGATTCCATAGGTGAAAGAAACTAAGAATCAGTCAGTGTTGTGGCCTTGGGCAAGGTACTTAACCAGAAATTGCTTCAGTAAATATATAGCTCTATAAATAGATAAAATTGTAACCCATATAAGTCACTCAGGATGCCAGGATCTCCTAAATAATGTAATGTAAGAATGAAAATGTTGATGTATTTTTAGGCAAGAAACTACATTAACGTTTTTTTGCTGTACAGTAGCTCCCTTTTCCTTTCTGTAATGTTCCTGTTTTATCAACATCTGTGATGTTTGACAGTGTTTGAGTCATCCGTGTTGAGATATGGCCAATAGATCCCATTGGATCTTCACTAAGGTCTCCCCAGAATAAATTCTGGGTCTCATTTCTCTTTCTTCTGCTTGGCATCAAAACCACTGATGTTCACAGAAGTATGTTTTACTTGGATGTAGTTAAAGGTGGCAGCAGTAAACAGGTTTGTAGGGGTGTTATCAACGCACACTCTCTGGAGACGAGCAGCACCTGAAATCTATGTTCACACACACTCCTCAGCCCCCTCGTTAAAAGTTCCTTATTGCTAATTTAATGGAAGCACTGTTTACCCCAGCATGTTTGCCTTACAAGCCTTTCAAAGGCTGTAGCAGAGACTTATTCCCAATTATTTCTACTTCTGGTACTTGAAGGGGGAATTTCATCACTTGTTCATTTTAGAATTCCTGTGATCCTAAATCCAATGTTGGCTCTATAACACACGTTCTGTCTACTTACACGCTTTTTTCTGTCCTCTGTATTCATGAATCCATGAGGTAATGGCACTGTTTGTGCTGCTGTTGTAGCTTCATCAATGACACAGAGAAAGCCTTCAGTGTTAAATATGCTGAGCTAAGCATCTGTTGAGTGAATTGAATATCTGTCTTTACCTCTGCAACCTCTTAATTTAAGTCAAGCAGGTTACCTCCTGTTCCCCTAGCACAGCTTCCTGTTTTGGCTTTATCTGTCTGCTGCTACTTACCTGTGTCTCTGTGTCTCCTCTCTGCACATATTCCTCTCCCTGCCTGTTTCTCGCCAAGATCCGTAAACTGGAGGTAACTGTTTTATTTCCAGCCATCTGTACTGGTGCACTGCTGTCTTTTATTCAATGGAATACGCCATAAGACACCAGACTTGTGTCTTGGTGTATGGCTTCTGGTCTGCTATGTGCCTTGTCTGCTTGTGAATGTGTGTGTGTGTGTGTGTGTGTGTGTGTGTGTGCACATATGTTCTGTTGTGACCAACGGATGTGTGTATCTGTTACAGAGGACTGTTTCTCAACTAAGGGCAGAGCTGGAGAAAGGCCCACAGGAAGTGGCTGTGTACACACAGCAGATACATCAGCTTCAACAACAGAACCAGGTAAAGTCACACGTGCACGCACACACACACACACACACACTGCATCCTCCCCCCTCTGACTTCAAGTACACTTCCTTAATACCTGGGTGTGTTAAAGGTCCATTACCTGAGCTGGCCTTTGGTCCCTTGGTAAAAGGTGCAAGGGATTGCTCCACAAGCCTGAACATGGACCTTGGATCTTGCTGTAAAAGCTACTATTAAAGATTATCAAGTGAGATGATTTCTTTGCCATGCTTATCTGTCTGTCTCAGTGACTAGCAGTGCCACAGGACTGGGAATAGCTTTTTTCCAGTATTGTGGTACCATCTCTGCTGCACCCAGCAGTGTAGATCTAAACAAACTTCTATAAGGGTCTTTAATTAGTTGATTCCCACAAATAACTTTGAGCAGATCACCAGAAACTAGGGTTGAGATCACACATTAAGTTATTATTCCATGAAATGCAGTCACTAATAATGAATAAAATATGTAGAAAAAGCCAGTTTTGTTTTCGGCATTAATGCTCATGAATTAGAGTACAAGAGGACTGTAGAAAACAGCAAAAAATATCATTAATAGACAGGAAGTGATGCTCATTAAAGCCTAGGTCTCCAGGGATGAAGGATGCTTAGGGGATTTTTACAGTGCTGGTCTCCAGGGTGCACAGGGATCTGTAGTCTGATATTCAGGATCTAAGTTTATTTCATAGGATAAGGGACAAGCCTCTATGATCCAAACTAACCTTATTAGCTTGCCTCCTCTCTCTAATGCCACCTCTACCCCAACCTCAGCATAACCCTAAATTGCCCCTAACCCGCATAACCAAACCCCAGTCCCCACCCAGGTCTAAGTTTTGGCTCAGCCCTAAAATCAACCTTAACCCCAGCATAACCTTAACTCTAATCCTACCATAATTT